TTGGCAGGTATGTACATGTTAATAGGTCATCACCCTCTTTCAGTATAGCCAGGGTTGACAGGTATATACATGTTAATAGGACATCACCCTCTTTCAGTATATCCGGGGTTGGCAGGTATATACATGTTAATAGGTCATCACCCTCTTTCAGTATATCCGGGGTTGGCAGGTATGTACATGTTAGTAGGACATCAAACAGAAACAAATGACTGTTTCTCAGTCAGCAGTGCAAACATTTAAACACCAGAATAAGTTGGTTTACTGATGACCTTGGCTGAGTTCATGTCACAATTGACTTACCAAGGTTCATTACATTCTCTGACTGGAGCCTGATCAGCGTTACTCAAGGGCAGATAATTAAAGAACTCCCTCAGCTGTAGTAGAGCGTCTACGTCATTCTCAAAGGCACAGTGGGCAACACCTGTCAACAGAAAGGTTAAAAGTCAATTTAGCTGATTGAAAATTTCTTGAGTCAACAATATTGTTACACAATATATCTTTTTACTATAAAAGATCATAAAGGGTCCGTCTTTTACATAATAATGTTATCAAATAATAATAAGCTTTTAATGAGTGTTAGGTTTGTCATAGCTTACAATTAATGTCAAGGTCACAGTATGACTGAACAATTAAGGTCAAGGTCACTCTATGATTGAGCAATTAAGGTCAAGGTAACTCTATGACTAAACAATTAAGGTCAAGGTATATCACTGCCTGAATAATTAAGGTCAAGGGCCACTGTGATTAAGATATCTTACTGCAAAGTTCAAGGTATATGTTCTTGTCTACTGTTTAGTTTAAGGTCACAGTGTCATTATTAATGCATGCTGTATACCGGGAAATGTTCGCTGCAGTTTAATTTTGGCCTTTTTTGCCCTCTGTAATGAAGGCATATTATCATAACATCACTGCGAACATCTGTAAACAACAAAATATACTTAGTTTTTAAATGTGAAGGGTAAAGGGACTATATTTCCAGCTATGTTAAATTTACATAGGAGCCTGCCCCCTCATAACTTTTGTTTCAGAAGTGCTAAAAGATTTATGCTGCTGTTTTAACTCTTTTCAATCCCTTATACATCTGATGTTATAAAGGACTTTGAATCACTCTACTAATTATTTAGATGATTAATTAACCTTATTGCAGCATCGGAATCAAAAAATAGAATATCACGACATAGTCACGATTGTAATCCGACTACATCCATCATGTCCACTGTACACAACGTCACCAGTAGTGTACCTACAACATCTACCGTAAAAACCCATGTAATTTGCGCACTTTTTTTTCAGAAATTTAATACCCAAAGTGGGGGGTGCGTAAAATACACAGGTATAGAAAAATTCAAGTTTTTTTCAGGAAAAGATCGACGATTCTGAGAGATCGCCATCTTGGATTATGTCCCTTGGTACACGGAACTCTAAGACAAATGACGATCAACAAATTTATTTATGTCAAACATTAATAAAAGATACATAATGTGTTGTTATGTGAGTTTATGTGAAAAGTATTAATAAATAGGTAACCGTTAACAAAAAAAGTTTAGCCAAATTCCTATGCCAGAGAATCGCCGATCAACTTACGACATTACGTTTCGACATCTCGGTGCGTTTCCCCATACTATTACGAAAATGTAGTTGTTCAATTTAAGCTCCGTTCTATGTAAGTTCTGTAAGTTTTTTCAAATCGCCTATGCGTATACGTATAGCATGGTTTTTTTCCGGCTCACTTTCATGTTGATCTCGCGTCTAACATTACGTAAACACGTGATTGATAATAACCTCGTGAATTATTTCAATATTTATTAAATGAAGCATCGTAAAAATAGTCTGCGTTAACTATTTTTTTCCTTGGAGTAGATTTGAAGAGGATGTATTGATTGTCCACGCTTCTAGTATAAACATATTTTTTATAATCCCTTATCAGTCAAATCAGTCTGTAGTTCTGACAATGCAGTAGGGCTTCATAATTCACGACTGCAAATCATTTCAATTAGTAGAGCTATTGTTAACGGATAATCACAGAGATAGTGTTAGCTCATTACTGCATTGTAATTTGTAAAAAAATATCGCCAAACCACGGACTTAGATAATCTAATTCCGTGGCCAAACTGCACTGTGACATGACCTGGTTTCAAGTGACGTAACCCAAGCCGCCATGATGAGCCCTTCTCACTAATCGTAATTATGATCAATAAAAGGTATCTAATTATGTCTTTCACCAGGAGATATGCACCAGCGGTTACTAAACATCGAATTACTTATTAATTGATATGTTTTTGTAAGCAAGTAAATGTTTTATGTAAAATATTGCTAAAATGAATTGATGTAAGCCGATATGCGCACACGTGTGTGTCATGTGTGATCAGATAATTCAAAGAAAACAAGCAACAAAATACACATTTTACGTAGTTTCTTCTTGGTTTTAAATATCATTTTACATCAATGAAAAAAAAATCATAGAAATATATTTTAAAAAATCGATTTTCGGAGCATGAACATTGTTTTTTTCCAGATTTTTTGGGTGCGCAAAATATTCGAGTAGAACCTTTTTTCCCGATTTTCAGCCTCAAAAAGTACCTGCGCAAATTACATGGGTTTTTACGGTAGTTTCCCAAATGTTATGGGACGCACCTAACAGTTGGGAGTGCTTGGCCGACCTCTCCGGACCATTCCCGTTCCGTAGGATTCTGTTACGAACGTTTACGACTGTGTTCAGACAATGATAGGACATTCCAGATCATTGAGGATAGTAATCCGACTTTTTCGCTTTTCGTGTCGTAGCGCTGTCTGATCTCAAACGGGAGCCATAATCAGCACTGTGTGAACGCCGCATTAAATCAGCCCAGTAGAACTTCACAAGTAGTTTTTCAAAATTTCATATTCATATTCATATTTGATTTCTGATCGACCCGAAAAAAAACACAACACTTGGTCAGGGAGTTGTCAGTAACATCCCCAAGAAGTATCAATGAAATCCCTTCGGCAGTATTTCAGTTTAAGTTGAAAATGTAAAATGTTAACGGACTACATACAACGGACGACGAACGAAGATGGATAGCAATAGGTCACTTGAGCTAAAGCTCAGGTGACCTAAATATGGTGCCATTTGGTGTTAGTTTGGGAAAATGAAAACTATACAATTAGCTTGTAACTGATTTTAATGTAACTTTTCTATTCTACTTAACTATCAACCATATTGTAAAACAATCAGAATAAATAAATTTCCTTGTATACTGTATATTACATACACATTTGACACTTTCAGTTCAGTAATGAACTGAATATATTGATTATTGAATTTGTTATCGATAATCTGAATCGAAAAGGACAAATTGGTCGATGTTCGATTATTATATATCGATCATCAGTCCATCACTGGGTTCAACTTGTCCAGGATTTTATATTAATAGTATAAGTGCCCTTGACCTCAACTCTACAACCCTGAAACTCAAACTTGTCCGACATATTATGGTCCTTTGTAATTGTGTGAAGTTTGATAAAAATCCCTGAAGGAAAGAAGCTGCTAGAGCGCTGACAATAAATTTCTAAATAAAAGTAATAGTGACCTTGACCCAACAACCCTGAAATTTGAACATGTCCGAGAAATTATGGTCCTTTGTAATTGTAAAATCCCTCAAGGAATGAAGCCGCTAGAGCGATGAGAAGGATTTTCTAAAAATATTTACAGTGACATTGAACTTGAACCAACAACCCTGAAACTCGAACTTGTCTGAGATATTATGGTCCTCTGCAAGTGTGTGAAGTTTGATCAAAATTCTTCAATGATATAATTGAGGAAGTGCTAAAGATTGTGACTGCATGTCTCAATTGGATACGGGGATCAATTTATCAAAGATCACCGGAAATGACAGAAAAGACAGAGAACTTGCACATCAAATGAAGTTTCTACTTACAAAAAAAAAAAAGTTTGGCTCATAGGGTGAAAACTAGCTCTCTCCAAGAAAGCAAAGTCAGAATTCATAAAGATTATGAAATATGGGTGTATCAGCACTCTCAAGACCTCATCCCTTGTCATAGCTGTCATCAGCTATTAATACGTCGTCTAACTTTAATATATATATATAACTAGAAATATGTCAGAATGACATGAAAGTCACCCCATCGTTACATGATGTATGATCATATTTTCCGATAAATCATTGACCAAGCTACAACGGATATATTTCCACCTGTCAACCTGACAGGAAAATATCATTGCTTCAGATGGCTTCTGGCTCTTGATTTGTCTGTATATATCTCAAAACTCACCATAACAAGAGATTTTTATTTGTATACTGTAGTATATGATTCGTAGTTTCGGTTTCATCATAAATGATCCTTCAGTGCATTGTTAGTTTGACAATATTTGTCATTTGGGGAAAAACTCTGGCTTTTCGAGAATTTCAGTTTTATGCTTCTACGAAAAACGAACCAAGTACTCATTTGAATTTTAATGGGTGATTTTGTTGTGATAAGGTTTAGGTCTACACCTTATCAAAATAAAATTGAAATCAAAGGAGGGGCAATTTTTGAACACCCCCTTTAACATTGGGCGAAAAATGGATTTTTACTGTCCAAGGTCGAAAATTTAACGATATACAGTAGTTAGTGATGTCTTTAATGTCCACACAGCGCCCTCTATTAGCAGTACGTTTAGTTATGTAAGTGACTAACCTGACACACTGGTATGAGTTTTGGCCCCACCCAACTCCTCTTGTGTAACTTCCTCTCCTGTCACAGACTGCAAATACACAACAAAGCCATCACAATTAGGGTTTATTATAAGAATTATTCTGGAATGTCAAATCTATCACACAGTCTTTTTTCAGCTAATAGATTTTTCATGGAAAAAGCAAACAGCACACAAACAAATATAGTGAGGTTTTTCAAGTTGAAAATTGTACTTATAATACTTTAGCAAGGGGCCAAACTCATGACCATCTTTATTAAGTAATATAGTTATTTAATATAGTTATTTTCATTGTTGAGATGTGATGTGGAAAAAAGAGGCAAAGTACCTTCCTAGGGATCGCGGGAATTCCTAGTGATGTACCTTCCTAAGGGATTGCAGGAATTCCTTGTGATATACCAAATTTCTAGTGATGTACCTTTCTAGAGATCGCGGGAATTCCTAGTAATGTACCTTCCTAGAGATCGCGGGAATTCCTAGTAATGTACCTTCCTAGGGATTGAGGGAATTTCTAGTGATAAACCTTCCATCGGGATTGAGGGAATTTCTAGTGATAAACCTTTGCCGGGATTGAGGGAATTTCTAGTGATAAACCTACCATCGGGATTGAGGGAATTTCTAGGGATAAACCTTCGTCGGGATTGAGGGAATTTCTAGTGATAAACCTTCGTCGGGATTGAGGGAATTTCTAGTGATAGACCTTCGCCGGGATTGAGGGAATTTCTAGTGACAAACCTTCGCCGGGATTGAGGGAATTTATAGTGATAAACTTTCCGTCGGGATTGAGGGAATTTCTAGTGATATGCCTTCGTCGGGATTGAGGGAATTTCTAGTGATAGACCTTCGCCGGGATTGAGGGAATTTCTAGCGATAAACCTTCATCGGGATTGAGGGAATTTCTAGTGATAGACCTTCGCCGGGATTGAGGGAATTTCTAGCGATAAACCTTCATCGGGATTGAGGGAAGTTCTAGTGATAAACCTTCGCCGGGATTGAGGGAATTTATAGTGATAAACTTTCCGTCGGGATTGAGGGAATTTCTAGGGATAAACCTTCGTCGGGATTGAGGGAATTTCTAGTGATACACCTTCATTGGGATTGAGGGAATTTCTAGTGATACACCTTCATTGGGATTGAGGGAATTTCTAGTGATAAACCTACCATCGGGATTGAGGGAATTTCTAGTGATAAACCTACCATCGGGATTGAGGGAATTTCTAGGGATAAACCTTCGTCGGGATTGAGGGAATTTCTAGTGATAGACCTTCGCCGGGATTGAGGGAATTTCTAGGGATAAACCTTCGTCGGGATTGAGGGAATTTCTAGTGATAAACCTTCGCCGGGATTGAGGGAATTTCTAGTGATAAACCTTTGTCGGGATTGAGGGAATTTCTAGTGATATACCTTCGCCGGGATTGAGGGAATTTCTAGTGATAAACCTTCGTCGGGATTGAGGCAATTTCTAGTGATAACCCTTCGCCGGGATTGAGGGAATTGCTAGTGATAAACCTTTGTCGGGATTGACGGAATTTCTAGTGATAACCCTTCGCCGGGATTGAGGGAAGTTCTAGTGATAAACCTTCCGTCGGGATTGAGGGGATTTCTAGTGATATACCTTCGTCGGGATTGAGGGAATTTCTAGTGATATACCTTCCTATGAGCATGTTACTGGCAAAGTATCATCACCTTACACCTCTTGGTTGTTCAGAATTAGTTGTTACAAGGTTTTTTCATTAGGACACACTTGATAGTCCTTTATTCCAGCATGCTACTGGCCAAATATCATCATCATCCTAGGCATTTTGGTTATTCAGAAGAAGTTGTATTACAGCTTTTTAACATTTTTGACCCCTGTGACCTTGAATATTAGTCAAGTTAATTTATTTGAACAAACTTGGTAGTCCTTCATCCTAGCATGCCACAGACCCAATATCAGTACCTTGGCCTTTTGGTTGTTGAGAAATTGTTTGAAGAATTTAACACATTTGACCCCTATGACCTTGAAAGTGGGTCAAGGTCATTCATTTGAACAAACTTCGAAGTTCTTCATCCCAGCATGCTACATGCCCAATTTCATTACCCTGGGCCATTTGGTTATAGAGAAAAAGTGGTTTAAAGATTTGAACACATTTGACCCCTGTGACCTTGAAAGTGGGTCAAGGTCATCCATTTGAACACACTTTATAGCCCTTCATCCCAGCATGCTACAAGCCCAATATCAGTACAGATTATTGAAAAGAAGTAGCTTGAAGATTTTAAGACATTTGACCCCTGTCACTTTAAAAGTTGGTCAAGGTCATTTATTTGAACAAATTTGGTAGCCCTGAATCCCAGCATGCTACAGGCCCAATATCAGTACCATTGGCCTTTTGGTTATTGATAAGAAGTTGTTTGAAGATTTTAACACATTTGATCCCTGTGTACATTAAACTACTTCTTCTTAATAACCAAAAGGCCTAGGGTGATGATATTTGGCCAAGTGCATGCTGGCATGAGGGCTAAAAATTATTTAATCCCATGTTTTCGCGGTGGAAAAAACAAACAACGAAATAGTACAATTCAGCCATCCTACAGGGGAGATTTAATGACTATCTAAATTGTGACCACATTTACCACTAATTGCAGGGAGATTTAATGACTATCTAAATTATGACCACATTTACCACTAATTGCAGGGAGATTTAATGACTATCATACATGTGCCCATATTTACCACTATCTCTGTGGAGAGAGTGGGTGACTATCTACACTGTGTTCACCACCAGCTCCGGAGTACCGAACACCTTATCATCTGCTGCCTTTGTAGTGCCAGACTTGGAAGTAACAACTTAATCTGTCTGCCAGAATCTCCTTCTCACAAGGTTTTTACTATGGTGCTGAATTGGTTTTTAACATGATGTCTTTACACAATTTTCCACTAAAATTGCTGGTTTAGATAGCTGTGCCAAGGTGTACTTAAGTACAAATTAATGGTTTGGTAATCTCCCCTGAGCCCCAGGAACAGGCCACTCCACACAAGAGGACTGTGCAAATCTGTATTCTAAATCTATTATTTGTGATGTTAACCCAAGCCTGAATGATTGAACCTCAAGCAGGAGGTTGAAATGACTTCAACAGAAATACTGATAAAAGATTGGTGGCCATATCTCTCTCCTGGGAGTAAAATGTTATATTCGTTTTTCTGTATTTTCTTCAAACTACCCATACAATATACATGTATATATATATATATAACAGATTTACCAGAACAAAGATACTGGATAACTTGATATAACCCATTTTTTTTTTTTATTCCATTTTACCACTCACACTTTTGTGCACCTAACAGAAATGTAGCATGTTAATTAGTGTCAAACTGTTTGAGATGGTGATATTTTTGCCTATATCTCAGCTGATAAACATCAGCTGGCACACTTTGGTATTTCTGTTATTTTTATGAACGTTATCAGTTTTTCTATGGCAATAATATATGGAAGGAAAATAGAGTTTCTGTCCGCAGTAACACTTCTTCAATTTCTTTTGACATAAAGTTGTTAAAAATTCAATTTTCTCATCAAAGAAATTTTGTGAGAATCAAACAAAATTGACCTGTACAAGGTATTAAAATATTTTATTTCCCCGATCTCTGAGAGCACATTTGATCAGTTGATGTGGTTATCATCCTACAAATCACCTACCATTGCCTGCTCACAACTGATGGTGCAAATCAACATATAAATTTAAGAGAACCTGCATACTTTCTCTGGTAATAAGTTGTCTCCATTGGCTCAACATGAATACATCAGGACTCTTAACACTTAAACCTAATGTTAAGCCTGTCATCTCAGACGCTTCCTACCTAAGTGTTTCACTATCCCATTTTCCTTTGTTCTCCTTTGGCCACATCCCCTAAACTGCCAACGACTATTTCACTGTCCCATTTTCGTTTAGCCACCTTGCTTCCTACCTAAATGTTCACTATCCCATTTTCCTTTTGCAATCTCCTGAACTGCCAGCATATTTCACTACTCCAGTCTCCTTTTGAAACCTTGCTTACTACCACTGTATTTACATTAACCCCCTGTAAAGGAAGTCACCACCTCCTCTCCCACCCTGTTTGTCTCTCCTCAACTGTGTGTTGGATTTGTTTGACAATTCTTTCTGGAGTTATGACCCTTTAAACTTTCTGCTCAGTATCTTGTAAGTGCAACAGTTTATTGGAATATTTTGTAATTTATCATAATTAAAATACATCATATGTAAATGTATAATGAGGTCTTATTGTAAATTTCCATTGTCAATCATGGTGGCAATATAAATGCTACCACCGATTGCTCCCTGCTGTTACTTAACGGAGTAAGATCAACATAAGCATACAAGTGTAAAATTGCCTACAGTAACTTAAATACAGATGTTCAATTTGATGACATTTTCTTTCTCCCTATAATTTGTTTTTCTTTCAAGATTATCAGAATTGGTTTGTGAAGATGGACAGCAATAGCCCACACATGTAGATGGGAGATATGGCATGAATCACGGTAGAATCTAGTTTTGTTTGCCTTTTGTCTGATACAGATGTACAGTTTGTGGCAAGAACAACAAACAGTGGTTCTCAAGCATCAGGCTGCCTCGCCACACATCAAACCCTAGAGGCATCCAATCCTATTGTCCTGTCTGTGTTCCTGTCTGTATCTAGACAGATACTTCCTGCATTGTATAGCAGTCAGTTTATTGATAACAAATTGCACACACACATTACAAACCGTTGGCAAAGGAATTTAAAAAAAACAAGCTTTCGAGTGCTGGACGTGGTAAAATAAATAAACTTTTCACTTATCCATCTGCTTAGATTTTTATAAATAAAAGTAAAAAGAAGAATAGCAACCACTGAAGCCTGTTTTCCATAAATTATGAATGCAACAAGAATGTGATAAAATAGATACAGGAATGTTCAGCTCAATCGGTTAGAGCATCTGTTTAGAGTATTAAGGACCAGGGTTTGAATCCTGGTCTAGCTGTTGCACTCTTCAAGAAGGACGAACCGAGTCAATCCCTTCGCTCAGATTGGTTAT